GATAGTTACTTTGGCTTTCGAACCGCTGGGTGGGCGGGAGCTAGGACAGAGGGTCGAGAGCTCACCTCGACCACGGTGGGACTCGAACAGGTGCTCGAGTAGATGTTAATGCAGGCGTTATACTGCCTGCGCCACCGCTCCCAATGCTGTTCTACGAAACGACCCCTGACAATAAGTATAACATTCAACTGGTAATACAGTGATGACAGATTGCTAACTGGAAACTGATCTTCACAAAACTTCCCAGTTGTAGAATCATGGAGCTGGAAGGAGTCATACAGGGCATCTAGTCCATTGTTAATTTGTCTCTCTCAGCGTTGCTTCCAAAGTTCCTTAAAGGAGGCTGTAATTAGGCCACTACTGGAAAAGCCTTCCTTAGATAAAAAGGACCTAGCCAATTAGCATCCTGTATCAAATTTGCCATTCTTGGGACAGGTAATTGACCGAGCAGTGGCTGAGCAACTCCAGGCTTTCCTGGATGAGACCTCTACACTTGACCTTTTCCAGTCCAGCTTCAGGCCTGGTTTCAGGGCTGAGACAGCACTTACTGCTCTGGTGGACAACCTCTGGCTTCAATTGGACCAAGGCAGTTATGCACTGCTGGTTTTATTAGATCTGTTGGCAGCATTTCACACAGTTGACCATTTTGTCCTGGTCAACTGTCTGGCCCCATTGGGGGCATGGGGTACTGCCTTGAGTTGGTCTTCTTCGTTCCTTCAGGGAGGCTTTCAGAGCATTTTCATCAGGGATAAAAGGATATCCATATGAGGATTGGACTGTGGTGTTCCATAGGGTTCAATCTTGTCCCCGATGTTGTTTAGTGTGTGTGTGTGTGTGTGCGTGCATGCGCACCTTCTAGCAGAGCTTGTCAGGAGGTTTGGGGTTGTGTGCTAGCAATATGCTGATAACACCCAACTCTTCCCCCTGCTGGATAAGCAACCAGAGACAGCCCTCTCGGCCTTGAACCAGGATGAGATGGTTAGACAGTGTTGTCAATGCAAAGAACATGAAATTAAGCAAACTCCAGAGGACAGTGGAAGAAAGGGGGGGCTGGTGTGATGTGGTCCATGGGGTTGCGAAGAGTCGGACTCGACTGTGCGATTGAACAACAAAAGAAGTCCAAGGCTGGAACTAAAAAAAGAAGAAGAAATTCCTGGAATTAAGTTCCACTGAATAACATAGGATTTCAGAGTAGGCTTGCTTAGGACTGCTCCTCCATAGCTTCAGTGGAACATACTTGTATATTATGTGACCAGGAAGAGTCTTCAATGTTCTCAATATAGGTTGCAGTGAGGCTGGTCCAAGATTTGGACATTCTGCATTATGTAAAGTGAATATCTTGTCTGATGCATG